AGAGAGAGAGAGAGAGAGAGAGAGAAAGATAGAGAGAGAGAGAAAGAGAGAGAGAGTTTGTGTGTGCGTTTGTGTGTGTGTGTGTGTGTGTATGTATTATGTATGTATGTGTCAATGTACATGTGTTTGTGTGTATGTGTGTTTGGGTACATGTACGTTTATGTACAGCCATCCCCTGTCACTTACGAGTAAACTTTCCGCCAAAGCCTTAGCCCCGTCCATTCTCAGGTGATTCCAGCTTAGGTTTAGTGACTTCAGAAACCTATTTTTAGCTGTGAGGAAAAAGGAGGTAAACCCAAAAAATCGAGTGAGTTGGACCATCAGATGCAAATCTAAAAGCCCTAATTATATAACAGCTTTATAAAAGTGACGATACCCCCCCCCCCCCCTTTCCAGAGCAGTACTGCTGCCTGGGGTGTCTTTGGGCCATTTCCAAAGGGGGGATATTAACATGTTCTTATGCACAGTAGAATTGTAAATGGGCTGATTTATCAATGTCATGCTCATATTGTGCCGGAACAACATAGGGGCAACTGCTGCTTTTTCGTTCCTCATCCCTACTATTGTCATGTTTCCTCTACTTCTTTTGTATGTTTGTCACTCTCTTGTGAACTTCTATTTCCGGGGTGCCTTGATAGTCGAAGCTGACTTTGTGCTGTTGAGGCCGGAGAAGTGAGCACAGTAAGTCTGATTCCCTGTTTGGATTTCTCTTTTGACATCCGACCCTTGGCGCTCATATGACCTTATGCTGTTGCGAGCGCTGTAAAACCTTACTAAAACAAACAAAACGTTACAATAGAACACGTTTTCGTAGAGTAAGCTGTAAGTTCAAGCAGTACTTGGCCACAGTATATAATAATGAGTAGCCGTGTGGTTCCCTTAGTTTCCCTCTGTGTATTTTCCCTGCTTCAATGTCAACGTGTTTCTTCATTTTTTAAATTTTATTTTCGTGCGAAGAATATGGCTCTATGTTTTGGGGCTGTCTTGTTTTATAAAAGCGGGGGTGGGAGGTTGTTTTATTTCTTTTTTTTTAGGTGGGGGAGGGGGAGGGGGATTGGTTCGTACATTGTTATAGTTCCCTTTAAATAAAATCTTAAAAATTATTAAACAATTTGTTGCACCAGACAAAAAAGGTAGGAAATAGGAAAAAATATTCTTTCAATCCATGAGGTACAGTTGAATACTAACTTTACTAACTTGGTGAAGAACAAGGGTTTGAATCAGAGTTTGCTGTGAATGTTCCAAATATATAATATAGCTTCATTGGAATTTCCTCAAAAATCCCGAGCCCTGATTAAGACACAAAGGGCTGCTTTCTGCAGGGTCTATTCTGAGTCCAAAAAGGCCGTAAATTAAATCTCAAACAATGATGTCACTGACTCACCCAGTCCGTCGGCGATGAGTATGCCTCCTTTACACCGAAAGTTGTTGTGGCTTAAGTCTATGTGTCGCAATGCATGGTTCTCCTGAATA